TTTTCCTTTGTATAGGCTCCCAACACCAAATAACCTAACTGCTGGGAAACAAGGAAAATTTAAATCTCCAAATAAGGCATTTAATATACTGTACTGCTTCTTAAACCAGCATTGCTGACCAGAATATATTTATTTCTTTTCTGTTGTTCATATGCAGTAGAATCGCCTATGTTACATATGTTTATGGGCAAGTATTTTTAAACTTAAAATGTCTAAATATAAAATAATTTCATGGAAAAATATGTTTGCCTTTTTTTAATGTGCATGAATTCCACCTAAAACATGGAAACAACTACTGCAACAGAGAACATGAAGAAACAGGGCCTTTTTTTTATGCATAGTGGTGAATGTGGAGACTCCACCTGGAAAAAGACTGCTCTGGTGGAGCTAGCCCATCGCCACTACAGTGTGTAGGAGATGGAGTCAGGTGGCATGGGGAGCTCTAGTTTAAGGAAGCCACTGGAGTATGGATGGAAATGTGGACTTTAGAAGTGTATGTGACATATACTTGCAGCGTGACATGGTTCTGTAAAGCATTTTATAATAATAAATATTTTAATTTATCATAATTTATAAGAAAAGCATTGTTTGTTGAAGGAAAATGAAGGAGCAGGAAAAAAAACATTACTGCACAGTGCTGAACTTCTGCAGGTGGATTTGGCATGTCTCCCATCAGTTCAGGGCAAAAAGTGCGATTGTTAGATGTATTTAAAAAAAGACTGATAACACACTATTTTCATATTTTTTGTTTATTTGCACAACTTGAACCAGATTACTGGTTAAAATCCAACATTACACAATTTATAAATAAAAAGGTTTTATAAGGAAAGCAAAATAACCAGTGTTGTAAATTGCAGAAAAAAGATTTCTTTTTTGGTTGTTTGGGGGTTTTTTTGTTTTGTTTTGTTTTTTAAGGAAAACCTGCCTAAAATGTTAATCTTGTAAAACAAAACAAAACAAAAAGTATGTATTTTGAATTTTCTTTGATTTAATAGAGAATATTATAAAGTCAAAATATAATAACTTGTTTTCAAATTTGGAGTTTAAGATATAGCTATAGATGTGGTTTTGATTCTTTTAGATGTCTCATAAAATGAGACTTTTTATATGTTAGTTAATGTATAATAAAACTGAAATAAGATTATTTTCCATTTGAAATTTTTGTATAGTTTTAAAATGCTTCTGTACTCTTCGTTGGTATTGTGCCACTGCAAAACTTTAGTGCAAAGTTTATATTTAGCTAAACTTTTATGTTAATAAGAAATGCATAAATCTTTTATTCTTAATATTTGTAATTCTAAATAAATTGATCTATGAAAATGAACATTATGTACATTTTTATTTACACAAGTGATAGGTATTCTTTTTATTGAAAAAGGTATGAAGAACTTAAATTTCTATCCAGTTGTTTAGGGAGAACAATACAGATTAATTACCAAGTTTTTTTCCCTCTCCCTCTGAGATGGCTTTTTCTTCCTTTCCTTTCCTTTTTTTTTTTTTTTGGCAGAACTGTGGATTGAACTCAAGCCCTTGTTAAGCACTATTTGTCTTTTGATGCTTATTTGTTTTGTTTGTTTAATGCATTTAGTACAGGGTCTCATTACACAGATCAGACTCAGTGATTCTCCTGTTTTCAGCCTCCCAAGTGCTGGGATTACAGGCATGCACCACCACACCCAATATCAATCGCTGTCTCAGTAGGCCCTGGAGGCAGAGCCAGCACAGGACGCTGGTGATTGAACCCCAGCTGCTGCACTCTGCCTAAGCAGGCGCTTTAGTCTTCTGAGCTATCTGGCCAGCCATAGTTTGGGTTTTTGTTTTTTTGGCGGAACCGGGGATTGAACTCAGGCCCTTGTGCTTGCCAGGGAAGCGCTTATTCTCTTGAGCCATCTCCCCAGCCCTGTTTTGATTTTTTTGGAAACTGGATCACTATGCAGTTTGGGCTGGCTTGAACTAATGGTGATCCTCCTGCCTCAAACTTCCAAGTGCTGGGATTACAGGTGTGCAACACCACACCTGGTGACAGAAGAAAGTGTGCATAAGAATATACGTCAGTGCTGTTTCTATTGAAATAAATTAAAGGCAGTCATCTTAAGTGAGCCATGCATTGATCCAACCACTGCCGCCAATGCTATACACGCTTTAGGTGCTCTAGATGAAGTACCCCAGCAAGGTCAAGCATATGAGCTTGCTGAAGGAAAATGAAGGAGCAAGAAAAAAAACATTACTGCACAGTGCTGAACTTCTGCAGGTGTATTAGGCATGTCTCTCCCATCAGTTCAGGGCAAAAAGTACAATTGTTAGATGTATTTTTAAAAAGATTGATAACACTGTTTTCATATTTTTTGTTTATTTGCACAACTTGAACCAGATTACTGGTTAAAATCCAACATTACACAATTTATAAAATAAAAAGGTTTTATAAGGAAATCAAAATAACCAGTGTTGTAAGTTGCAGGTACATGCTGGTGTTTACTTGCATAGGTGTAGCTGTGAATCATAGAGCTGGCTCCAATAGTCATACTCACCTGTTGCCATTGAGAATGTACACATGTATTTGCCTACTATTAAGTTTTCTCAGAAGCTATTCCTGTCTGTTTTCATTACCACACCCACAGCTCCCTCCGTTGTCAGTGTGGAACTTCTGAGTCTCCAGCTTATCTATGTCTGCTCTGTACTCTCCAAAACAAGCCAGTGCCATGTTCCTCAAATGCAGATAGTCATTCTCTGCCCTGTCTATAAACATCTGTTTTTTTGTTTTTCTTTTTTGGTGTAACCAGGGATTGAACTCAGGCCCTTGTGTTTGCCAGGGAAGCGCTTATTCTACTGAGCCATCTCCCTGGCCCAACGTCTGTGTCTCTTAATGCCTGTGGTTCCAGTCACATCCAGAGCCTTGACAGGCCCTTGAAGCTGTGCAGCCCAGCCTCCACATGTTTTTCCATCTGCTCCTGCTCTCCAGTAATGTCTGGTCTTCTGCCTTGGTCCAGGTCACATTTGCAGCTTTGCTTTCTTGGAGCGATCTTTTATAATATATGAGGGGAGGAGCTATCTCTGGTTTTGTGGTCATTTGTTTTGTTTTTTGTGGCACTGACAGTTGAACCCAAATCCAGGACCTTCACACTTAATTACTTCCCCAGCCCACTTTTATTTTTTTTTATTTTGAGAGATAGTCTCATTGAATTGCTCAGGCAAGATTTGGACTTGGGAACCTCCCCAGCTTCCCAGAGCAGTACATTACATGATGGGCATGTAGCACCATGGCCAGCACTGTTCTAGGCTTTACTGT